GTTGAGGGCCGGAGCGGGTGGCCAGACCAAGCTGAGGGAAGAGAGGCTGAGACGCTCGCAGGGTGGGTGGCGTCACTGTGGTATGGACCAGGGAGGCAGGGAGTGAGGCGGGAGGGCCTCGGATGTCATCTCCAGAATCTGGGCCGGGGTCGGCAAGTGGCACGAGAACCACTGAAGGACCCTGGGCAGAAGGCGGTGCTGTCCATCCTGGCATTTTCCATGAGTCACTCCGTGGAGCCGAGGGTGCACTTGAGGACTCTGAGACAGAGACTGCGAGAAGCCCCTAATTTCCTGGCCCCCACTGCACTACATTTCCCAGCACCCCTTGCATCTAGCTGGGGTCATGTGACTGGTTCTGGCCAATGAACCATGCGCTATGGGCAAGAGTGATGGGGCCACTTCCAGGCTTGGCCCCTGAAAACTCCCGACAGAAGCTCCGAGCTCTTTGCAGCCTCCCGGCTGGACACAGGATCCAGTGGAGGATGCTGGGGGGGAGCCACAATAGGGAAGGAGCCTGGGTCCCTCGATCACCTAAGAGAAGCCCACCCTATGCCAGCATGAACGGCGTTAAGCCCCTGAGGTTTCGGGATTGTTATTAGACGGGTGGGGGCACCCTGTCCAGCACAGCAGATGGGAGAAGCCTGAGTCGGTGGAGAAAGGATGAGAAGGAGGAACGGATGCATGCGATGGTCGGCAGTGCGGTCATCACCACTCGGCAGCGAGCTGGACACAGACCTGGCGGACGGAGAATTCAGGAGGAAGAAGAGTCTTGAGGAGGTGCCACGTCTAAGTCCAGGGGTGAATCGTGGGGACCCCGGTGGAGATGTCTACGGGGACCAGGGCTTGGGTGATGGGTTGGCACCAACTCCACACATAGACGGTGACCTGAGCCGGAGAGTGTGCGACACGCGGGGAGCGGTGACTCGGGGCGTCACAGGGGCGTCAGCAGGCACCGTTCTCGCCCTCCCTGGTCGGGGGAGGATTACAAGGAACACGGCGCCCAGTGAAATGGCACAGTCTTCCCACTTTAGGTTATATCAGGCACCTTCGGAGTTGATCTTTATTTTTTTTAATTGTTTCACCAACTAGAAAAACATGAGTGAAAAATGAATGTTCTCGCCCAGCTGGCGTGGCTCCGTGGCTGAGCGTTGACCTATGAACCAGGAGTAGGAAGCCTGGTCAGGGCACAGGCCCGGCTGCGGGCGTGACCCCTAGTGTGGGGCGTGCGGGAGGCAGGTGATCCATGATTCTCACGAGCTGTGCTCCAGGCAGAGGAGGCCTGAGAGTGGCCGTGGAGGGAGCCCCACTCCCAGCCTCCTGCCAGAAGGGACCCCTCTGTCCACCCCCCCACCCCCCGCTCTCTGGGTGCAGAGATCTCAGGAGAGAACCTCTGGAAGGTATGCTCAGCACCCCCTCTGCACCCGACTTGGAGCCAGCCGCCACCGAGGCCACTTTGAACTTGAACTCCGTTGGAATCCAGCTCATAGATCCGTGGCTCAGCCTGGGGCCTCCCCTGGGGGCCTGGGCGAGGCCGGCTCAGGACAAGGCGGCCTTGAGGGCCGAGGGTGTGGGGGAGCGAGTGCCTGAGCCCGGTACCGGGGACGGGCTGCGGGCCCAGCGGGGCACCCACATCTGGAAGGTGTCAGGTTTAAGGCCCAGGCCGCGCCCAGGTCAGCCCAAAGGACATGCCTGCGCGCCCGCAGCTGTGCAAACGCCCGTCAGGTTCCCTCCGAGACAGGGCCCCTTTGTCAGCCTCCCCTCGGTCCCCGGCCTGCCCGGCCCCCAGCCCAAACAGCTGCCGGCAGCATCTGTCTGAGGCCGCATTCATCCGCCCCAGAAGGAAAACATCGTTAACACGGCCGCGTTCGGGCTCATCCGCCAGAATTGCCCTCCCCCCGCCCAGGGGCCCCGTGTCCCAGCCGGTGTCCCCCCCACCTCAGTGCATAGGGCGCCCCAAACATTCCGTAGAGCACTGCCGCCCCTGGGAGCTGCCGGCTTCAGGAGTCCTTGGGGGCTGTCACTGGGAAGCCCTTTCTGGGTGGATGGGGCGTGGCTGGTGCCTGGTGGTGACGGGGACACAGTGCGTGGGCCCAGGTCCGTGCTGTGCGCACGAGGCGGAGATGGACCCGACCGCGGGAGAGGGCAGGACTCGCCGCTCAGCAGCGCTCAGACCCAGGCTTGTGGCAGGAGGCGTGGGGATGTGGTCCTTGCAGAGTTGCATTAATGAGTCACCTGTAGGACACACACACACACATACACACACACACACACACACACCCCTCACTCTGTAAAGGGACTCCAGGAGGCAGGCCCCGTCCTTCCGGAATGCAATGTTGCTTTCTTATTTAAAAAGTGTATATATATATATATAATTGATTTCAGAGAGGAAGGGAGAGGGAGAGAGAGAAACATCAATGATGAGAGAGAATCATCACCCCTCACTCTGTAAAGGGACTCCAGGAGGCAGGCCCCGTCCTTCCGGAATGCAATGTTGCTTTCTTATTTAAAAAGTGTATATATATATAATTGATTTCAGAGAGGAAGGGAGAGGGAGAGAGAGAAACATCAATGATGAGAGAGAATCATGGACCGGCTGCCTCCTGCACGCTCCACACTGGGGATCGAGCCGGCAACCCGGGCCTGTGTCCTGTCCGGGGACTGAACCAGGGATGGAACCGGGACCTCTGGGTGCCGGGTCGATGCTCAGCCGCTGAGCCCGCCGGCTGGGCCGGCTCTGTGTGCTCCTCAGTGCTCATGTGTCCTTGTCCGTTAAGAAAGTCTGGGAGCTGTTCGCTGACGAACACGGCAGGTCTGAGTGTCTCCCTCTCTCCTGTTCCTCTTCTCTGTCGGGGCTGGAGCAGGAGCGTCCCCCCCACTGTGGTCTTCCCCCTGGAGAGCCGAGGCGGGGGGGTCAGGCGCAGCCTGGGAAGCGCGGGGGCAGCTCCGTGGCTCCGGAGCTGCTGGCCACGTCCGCTCCCGGGGTCCTCCCACCGGACGCACTCCTCTCGGCTGTTTGCTGCAGCCCCAAGGCCTTCAGCCGAGGTGTGAACCGGCGAGTGACAGCCACGGGAACCCGGGAAAAGCCGTCAGCGTGGACGCCGGCTGTGGTGGGAGAGGGGGAGGGGGCCCCCCGGAACCCCCAGTTGGACAGTTTCCATTCTTTGGCCGGAGGCCTCGGGGTCCCTGAGGCTGTCCCAGGCACAGGCAGAGGCCTGCAGACCCCCTCCCCTCCACGCGCAGCCTGGACCGCTGTCCCCGCGTCCCTCTCTGAGCGGCTGGCTGTCCAGCGCTGGTCGTAGGAGCGGACGCGGTCCCCGCCCTCTGTGCGCAGGCCCTGGCCCCACACCGACAGCTGCCGGACACGCAGCCGCGGCTCAGGGGACGCGGCTAAAAACGACGAGGTGAGTCATTGTCCAGGCCGGGCCGCCTGTGGCGCACGGGGCGCTGGGAGAGGACGGGTGAGGGGGGCAGCGCTGAGCCGCCCGGGCCTGCCCTGCTGGGCACGCAGCCCACGGCCTGGGTGTCGGCGGGGCCTTGAACCTGAAACCGAGTTCCCTGGGCTGATGGCGCGTGGCCAGGGCAGGGGGACCGCCAGGGGCTGGTGATGAAAAGGCCAGTCCCCCCTCCTCCCTGCCTGGGACCCCACTTTAAGTTCCAGGGGCTACGCTGAGAGGCTCAATAATGTTGGATTACGGTTATTTCCCCTTGTCCCTAAAGGTAGTTTGTGTGTGAACTCTGCATATAACAGGTCAAGTTCAGCTCACCACCCCTTCTCTTCATCTTAAAAAAAAAGAATAAAAATTACACACACACACACACACACACAGAGTGTCCCCCCTAGAAGCGCACCCACACTTTAACAGCTGAATTTTGAAGATGAAATGTATTTTCATAAACACTGCCTTTCTAATTACTCAGTGTGTGAGTCATTGTTTGGGGGACCCCTTGGAGATGGATATGTGGGTACGGAGGGGGTGTCTATTTTACAACACCCCGTGGCCGCGGTCACTGTGCCGACAGGAGTGGCAGCGGAGCGGGCGGGGCTCCGCGGGGATTCTCCCTGGCAGAGCCGGGCTGGCGCCTGGGCTCCCTCCGGCTTAATCCCGCCATGTCATCTCCGCTCAGCCCTCGATTGTTCCCCCCACCGTATGGACGGGCGCGGGCGCAGGCGGGCCTGCCAGTGGCCCGGACCACACAGCCTCCGGGAGGGTTGGCTGGGATCGGAACCTGGGCAGCGGGCGTCGCCCGGGAGGCCTCCTTCCTGCTCCCAACGGCGCCCCCGAGGGCTGGGCGCTGGGCAGTGCTGGCGGCTGCCGCGCACAGCGGTGAGGAGAGCCCGCACCCAGGGCCCCCGCCCGGCAGCAGGCCGCCCTCCGGATGAGATGGAAGAGAGCCCCACGGTTCCCGGGCCCCCCACCTGCTGGCTTGACCGGGGCCCAGGGCGCGGGCAGCTCCTTGTTGCAGGCAGGTCCCTGAAGGTAACCCGCCAAGGCCCCAGCGAGGGTGTGAAGACCTGGCCCCGCTGTGTGAGTTCAGGCAAAACACGGACCTCTCCAGGCCTCCATGGCTGCATCTGCTGTAGTTTAAACGGGAGTAACACACTCATCCCTGTTGGGTGTGGGCGGCTGCGGGTTCAAGTGTGAGAGGGTGCGTGGGCCAGGCCTTTGCTTCCTGCCCATCCTGGGATCTCCGTGAAGGAGCCTTTTTCTCTGCGCCTCCCCCCCCCCGCCCCGCACCTTTCTCAGCCTGGGAAGGTCCCCGATGCCCGGGTACAGGCGAGCCCCAGAGCTTGGGGGCACCCGAGGCCACCTTTCCTCTTCCCCACGTGCTCCTCTAAGGAGGGACTTCGCTAGCTCCTGGGTGAATGTCCCCCTCTCCAGGGGGTGATGTCCGGGGGTCTCCCCGTCTCCCCTGCTCAGGACACACACGTGGGGACCCCTCGTGGGGACCCTAATGCCTCTTTCCTATTAAGTATCCTTTCTCTGCCCACGCTCTCTCTCCTCTCTCTAATCCAGCGTCCGAAGCGACGTGCTCAGATCCTTCCACAGATGAGAAGGTTGGGCAGAGGCCCAAGCTCATCATCAATGCTGATGTATGCATGTATACATCCCTAGGAGAGGTATATGTAGTAAAGGGAAGGCCCGCCGCGGCCGCAGCGCCTGGCCCAGCGCAGGCCCCCAGGGTCCCAAAGACACCCCTCCTGGCTCCCCCCTCACTGCAGGACGAGAGGGCTGCCAGCCTGCCGGCCGGCTCTACTGCTTGTGGAAATCTCGGCCTTTCCTCCGCTGACAGGTGCAGGCCACCTGGCCCTGGGAGGGGCAGCAGCCTTGAACCGGAGCTTTCAGTCCAACGGCAGCCCCGGCCAGCGCTTCTGACCCGCAGAGGTCAGAGGTCATGGTCCCCGCTCTGCAGAGGTCAGAGGTCATGGTCACCGAGGTACTTGTGTGGGTCGCTAGCCAGGTGTTTGACATCTTAGTGCCGTCAGCCTCTGCAGCGAGATCCCACAGGGGAAGTGGCATCTTCCAGAGCCCAGGGGGCGTGGCCATCAGGGTGGGCCTGGTGGGTGTGAAAGGCACGAGCAGCCAGGCTAGAGCCCAGAGCACAGAATGGAGGGGGTTCCCCAAACTAGAAAGCCGTGACTCATCCTGTTTGACGGCAGCAGCTTCGAGGTCAAAATCGATGCCAAAACGTTCCAGGTGAACGAAACATCACGTTTTCAAATCAAGCTGAGATGCCCTTCGGCTGTGCGCCCCGCCTGGCACGCCCACCCGGCTTCCTGCCGCGGCCTCGGTGCCGGTGCCACCGGTCGCTCCCTGTGGTGAGAAGGGTCATCTCACCACAGCCGGTCCCAGGACCGCCCAGCAGGGACGCCGGGAAGCCGGCTCGCTCCCGGGGGCCGGGCGTTCGGAGCGCAGGTGGACCTTCAGGTGCTCCTGTTCCGGGAGGACCGGCCTCCCACTTTGTCCCAGGATACGATAACCAGCCCCCCACCCATTTCAGGGCAAGTGGCCCGAGGGCTGAGGAAGGCCAGTCTTGTTTTTCTCCAGAACGTTCCAGACTCTCGGCCTCAGGTCAGTTCTGTTTGGGCAGCAGATGTCTCATGCTCCTCCTGGGAGATATGGAGACGGTGTAAGTTCACCCACCAGGGGCTTCTCTGTCCCCAGGAGCGCGCACGCTCTCTCTCTCTCTCTCTAAATGGACTTAGAGAGAGAGACACTGGTGTGTTGTTCCACTTATTCGTGCGTTCACTGGTTGCCTCTGGTATTGAACCTGCAACCTTGGTGTTTGGGGACGACGTTCTGCCCCTCCTAGCCCCCGGCCTCTAGGAAGCCCCCTCCGGCTGGTCCTGGAGGGCACCCCGTTTCCTCGCCTCGCGCCTTCCTGCCTGCGCTCCCGGAAGCTCACTGCCCACCGCGCAGGCCTCACCCAAGAACGACCCCTTCTCAGAGCCGCCGGCCCTGAATGCGAGCCCTGACCTGTCCCCCCATTATCAGTGGAGTTTCTTTTCCTCCATTAATCTCAGCGTTGGCTTCCTGGTGTGTTCACCCCTGATCCATGGCCGGGAGCCGGGCAGGGCTGGGGTGCGGGGAGCGGGGCAGGGCTGGGGCGCGGGGACG